TAATAAAAAATTGCGCGTCAAACCGATTTTGAGGAATAATTGTTTATTATGTGCTCCTCTCGCGGTTTAGCAGGAATGCAATTGACATCAACTTAAAGTGCTCCGTTTATTTATCGTGTGATCCAGAACGCAGTTTACTACAAGTACCTTCAGCTAAGGGACCTAAGGTAAAGGTACCTTTACGCTGCCGTGTGAATTGGGTATTGGCCTCGAGATCGACCTAGAGGTGGCGCTACGGTCGCGCTATCATCATCATCAAAGCGGGGATAGGAGAACGGCCGCCCCATAGGCTTTCCACGTTCGCGCGCGTGACGGCATATATTCTTGCATTTATTTTGTCGCATACTATCGGTGGGAAGACAATTCTAGCGGAGAAGGATGTGGTACTACTCGGTGCTTCAGTGAAGATCGAATCGTGTTGCCAGCGTGCGGCCTAAATTTATATAATCGCTTCTGTGGGTGCGTCGTCTGCTCCAGGCAGACGTTGGAAAACATGGATAACCACGACTGATGCCTGTCTCCGGCTGAACTGGAATATTTATGTTAAATATTTGTTTTTTTTTAATGAATGTGTTGGCTCTTAAACGTGGCAATTAAGCAAAACAATAAATTCCAACCCAGATAAGATAATACTGGTACTGTGGGCAGTGAAATCGCAGCTTCTATGTTTTCTTTTTTTTTTTTTAACTTCTAGCTTTTGCAGTAATATAAATATTTAAAATGAAGATAAGTTAGCGCTGTATTGAAAATTACCATGCTATTGAGTTCCTCTGCCCTTTTACTGTGCCATAGTGTGGGCAAGTTTTGTGGAGTCTGAACACATCGACTGCGTTTCGATGAGGAGAGTGTGTCTCTTCTAGTGATCTGCAAACTGCACGGTTGGCAGGACAACTGAAACAAGTGAAACAAACTGTTCCAATATATCTGATGTGACTAATATACGGGTGTGACCGAGCAACGCAGCAATGTTCCCGTTATTAAATGCTTTTCTCGGTAGTGTGGGTTCACCCGTTTCAATTTTCTTGGTGAGGGCCGCGGATGTCAAGAGGCGAATACTATACATTTCTGGCTAAATAATCTTGTGTTCAAACACAGTAGACTGCAAACCCAACAAACGACGCGCACCATGCACGACACAGACAGCGTCGGCCGCAGTGATACTCGTTTACTGATAAAAGCTAGCGAGGCTTCACGAGACTTTCCGATCACCCTCTGCGCTCACCTAACGTAAGACTGGGCAGTCGGCATCGATTAACTTTCACATTATTCAAGTAATGCTTTAATTGCAATTTTTTTTCTGCCGATTAATTGGAGTCCTGTGCTGGAGAAAGTCAACAAGGAGTAAAAATGCCAGCTTTAATATTTTTGACGTCTTTGTTTCTTTTGTGACACTGGCTTGCACGGTAAACCACTTCAGCGTGCTTGACATTTCACGGAGGGTGATTATACTGTTTAAATAATAAGTTAAAAACTACTGCATTTTAAAAGGCTTCCCGTGACCATATTTATTTAGGACTCACAACGTGAAGTTTATAATGGGAATGCAATATGCCACTTATGACATAGTAAAAGCAGTAAAAAATGTGTAGTTTTAACGTCTTTCACGCAGTATGACCGGCGAAAAATCAACATACGGATTTATTCATTGATTAGTCTACTAAACGATAGCGATCAGTCGGGTTACTTTCCTAATCAAACCACAGGCCCACTCAACATTCAATGCTTTATGAAAGCCACGGTTTGTGCGAGATAACAAAAATACGTGGGAACAGCGATTGTATACAAACCAACACACTAAGATTATGGAAGCTTCCGACTGAATAATAATCGCTTTGCTGAATTTCTACGCATGGGAAACGATACAACACAACCTTTAGTAAGAAAAAACGGCAACAAAAACATAAAGCATTTAATAAGGAATGTCAAGCTCAGCCTGAAACGGGCTTGCCGCGTCGAGATCCATGCTTCTGAGCGTGCGCCCGTAGCAGACGACGCACGGCGGTATCCCCGCTTTCGCGCGTTTCCGATTTCGGCCGCACGGTGGCGACACGGTTCGATCTCGAGGCGAATAAGTGGCTAGAAAAAAACGCGCGCGTGTTTTTCTACCTGTTCCACACCCAAAACGTCAGCTGCATCCTGTTCACCCATTGAACCGGTTTGACCTAGATAAAGCTCTCCCAAACTTGCCTTTGTCCCCATCGTGGGCTATCTTCTGCCCCGAAGTCGACACAAATGACGAATTCGCGTGGTTCTTTCTGCGCGCTCTCGAGCGCTCTTTTCAGAGCTCGCTAGATGGGGCGGTTGAAAGAGTGCTGTGGACTGATCGGCTGGTTCATTCCAAGGGCGCCTCTCCCTCTCAGAGCGCTCCCTGGCACTTTGCCTGTAGCCGTCGGAGTACGGAGCGGCGCAGGCGTCACGTGGTACTTGAACGGGGATCACGTGGTTTTGTTCACGATGACCGGCAGTGGTCTGTGGTGGTGCGCGGGGTACGACATGACGGCGATTGATATGCGGTTCTACAAAGTGCTTGTGCATTCGATGGTGCGAGGATTACAACGTACGGGACGACATTCGTTTGCGCCTGTAACAGGAAAAGTCGACGTGTAAAGTATTCCCACTCCCAGTGCTTTCAAGAGATCGTTTATCTCATTTATCATCAAGAGATCGTTTATGAATTCGTTAAGCCTAACCGACGAAGAAGCCGCTCGCGGAGCTCGCCGCTGTGTTTTTGTGGTCGCTTCAAGAAATTTTCAGGTTTGGAAAAAGTGCGTTTTCAGGTTTGTGCTGTAAAATAAAGGTAGAGCCGAATATAATGCAATGTGATTTGTGTCACATGGCGATATGTGCTATATTCTGCTTGCACAATATTTCGCCATAAGAAAAATGCGGTCTATTAACCATTTTATAATTACCTGCTCTGTCGTACGCATGACCGCTATCGCAGCGCGTTCCCTGCCGAAAACGCGATGAGTTCACAACTTTTTGCATGCATTGGTTTTCGTCTGTATTTTTTACTGCGGTTTTCTGTTTTTTACATGTCGATGCGTAAAACAATTTACGTCACAACCGTTATTTCATCACGTTGCAAGCGTAAATTTTGCTCAATCGTCCACCGTACGCTGTAAGATCGTGTTGTTTTTAATGCATTACCAATGTCAAAAAAATTTTAATTCTCTGACTTGTCTGAGAATGTCAGAGCGCTCTGAACCTGTCTGAACCCAGCAGTTGTGATCGGTTGAAAAGGATCCCGAGTAGCTCTGGCGGCGAGGAGGGGGCGCTCTGCTGTGTCGAGGTCTTCTTGCAGTGCGGAGTGAATATAGATTTCACATTTAAATATTCTAAGCTTAAATGGTGAAACAAAATGGCTAGGTGGCGTAAGCTACCGCCCGATCCAAAGGGCTCAGCCGGATTCATCCATCCCTTTATCCGTCAGAGGAGAAAGGCGACTACCCGAATTCACCAAAGAAACCATCTTCCCTCTCTGCTCGGCCACAAGGAAGAAAGAGAGGGTACTAGACACATTTACTCTCGAACCGATGTTTCTACAAAAGGTCTATTATGTAAGTCACCTACTGGATGGCAGCCTGGGATAAAGATTGTACACGAGCGCTGCATCGCCATTCGTCTGAAACTCGCGTTGATCGGACACGAGTCCCGGCAGAACACTCAGGCAGCACCCGTGGACAATCAGTGGCTCTCGCTGGCCTCCAGTAGGTGGGAAACCAAATCCAGGAGTGCGACCGTATTTTCTTTGAGCTTTTGATTTAGAGCGTGTTCTGTTTTTTCTCGCTGTACATTCGCAGTCGAAAAAAAAGCTTAGGCGAGCGCGCGGCTTACACGGCCTGCCGCGCTATCTATCAGAAGAAAGCTCAACTGTTTAGATTTTGTCGTCACTCAAAGATCGACCAGCTGTCGCTGAGCTCATGCTGAATTAGCCGAATATAGAGGCGTTCCGCGACGAAATGTAGATTCAAGTGTCGCTACTGGATCGGCAGACTGAGTGGTCAGTTTTCGGGCGTTATTTTTTAATAAGTTTGATGGATATATGGAGATACGCAGTTTTCATTTTATTGATCCGAGCACTACTGTCGGTGTTGCGTCAGCAGTCGTTAGCCGACCAAGCGGGAGGTACTGACGAAATTCAAACAGTCGCTGAAATGCTGCTTGTTAACACAATTGCCTCGATGATAAACCAGCTTTCTTGAACGCACGCCCACATCATAAAAAAAACGAAACTTTAGATTAAACGCACATCTTCTGGAGTGCTCCGCATCTAACGCATGAGGCCACACTTCCTGATAAGAACACCACGCTTTTTAACCGTGATGCACAAAAATGGCTGCGAGGTTGACCCAGCACTCCCCACTCCTACCTCTATTAGAGTCTTGACTAACAAAGGAACAAGCAAACCATGTAATTTTTCTACAAATATATCATATTGCTTGATACACAGCGCAAAAACTGAGCTGCATGATGGCCCAGCACAGTGTGTCGTTTTTTTTTTAATTTCTTTCTACCACTGTAAAAATTGTTTCTTCCTTCTGTTCCAGTTTCGGGTTCAAGTCATTATGAAAGAGTTGTCCCTGAAGTTCAGTAGGCGCGGTCCTAGATCTTTTATGACGTTCAAGTTCGTTTGCTTCTTGCGAGCTTCGTGCGTTTGTTCACACCCCAAATGCACCCGCGTCCGTTTGTTGCTCCCTACCTCAACCAATGACGGCGCGAGCTTTTGCTGCCTCGTCATTGCGGGTTCTCTACGCGTTCCCTCCCCGCTTTTCTCCCCCCACCCCATACCCCCCGAGAGTCATTGACAAATTCGCCCTATGCGCGTATACTAATGGCCCTCACTTTTCCCCTAACTGCCTTCTGCAACGCCTACACACACGCAATCTACGCGTTCTCACGTGGCCCTCTGATTGGCATGCGCCCTTTCGTGTCTCTCGATACGGCACATACGCCTTCTAGAACACTTGCTCGCCGTAGAGGTGCCTGATTTTACTTGCCTTCTGTGATTCGCCGAGTTCCCAACGGAATTGCTGCGTCATCCTGGCCACAGTGTAGGCGAGCTCGACATAAGCAAGCCTGGTTCCCACGCAGTTTCGGGGTCCCATTCCGAAAGGCTGGAAAGCCAACTTCGGGATACGGCCTTCGTTCTCCTCACTGAACCTGCAACACATGGTAAAATAATTTTCTAGAGATTGCGCGAAACTTCGATGGTCTTGGCGCCGTATGCTTTTGCGTGCTTGGGAGGACTTGACGCGCGTTGTCCCCTTTGAATTGAGACGACGGGTGTCGGGACGGGACGACGGGCGCATACGATATCTCGGTAGTCGGCGTAACCTTTGCGCAGCGCGAGAGCGCAACAGCTTGAACCGCGCGATGCGCCAGCACTATCTCGAAATCGGGGTGTCCCCACCATTTGAGAAAAATTTGGTGCTCATGTCTTGCCTATTGCAAATAAGCAGAGTAGAATGTACTGTCCTAGTGAAGTTTTTGATACGGTGGGTAACAAATATCAGACGTTTTTATAAAGGACGAATGAGCAGGGATTAATACGGTTCCAATTACAGCACGAAGCTTGAGAATTCAAAAGGCCCGAGTTTATGAGTCAAGAGATCCATAGAGTTGTAAAGCTGGAGCACGTATTCCTTTATGGTAAGCCCCGTCGCAACAACCTATTTCTGTTATACCTCTTCCCTCACCTAAGCTAGCGATGTGAAAGCTACGGGCTCGCCGGAACAATCAACCGCCTAATCCTCGACCACCTGCTCTCCGCTCTTTGCGCGTGGTTCTAGGCGGCAGTGTCATCACGTGGCAGAAGATTGACATGTGACTTCTTCACCGCGCACGCAGCTTCCTCGGCAGTGTCAGCTTAGGGGGGAACGGAGTACAATGAGTGCAGAGCTCGTCGACGCACTCCTACAGTCACTGACACTTTAAGAAACGCGGGGCGTGGCCAATCTCGAGCATCTAATTATCACCCCGCAGCCAATGAAATTCCGGAATCATCCGAAAAAAGCGCAAAAATAAAAACCACCTAATAGGAAGCGTGAATCGCGAACATCCCCTACATACTGTGGTCAGTCACAAACTCGACGTTTTCCTACTCACCTTGATCAATCACAAAACCAGAAGTTCCCCCACGGATTGTGATCAATCAGATCCCCAACTTCTCTTACGAACCGTGATCAACGAAGATTGGGACCTGGCAGCCTGTTGTGTCTGACTTTTTCTAAAAGAGCCCTATTGTACTGCCGGTTGGAAGCTTGCTGTTCGATAAAAAGTTCTGAAGAGCTAATTGAGCTTAAGATTTCGTTCCATTCAAAATTCTGCAAGTTGACCTGCTTAGACATTAGGGATTTCTCCTACTCACTAGGCAAATCAATTCTTCGTAGAGTGCGGCAGTTTGTGGACATTAGTTTGGTACGGTTTCAAAGCGCTTCAGGCATTGACGCTGGCAGTTTTTTTTTTTTCTTTCTATCTTGAGCTCTACCTAAGGCCGTGGCTTTTGAGGTTAATGGCTGTGTTTTCGAGCAGAAGCGAGGGGTCTGTGTAGGGTCCTCCCTGGCGCCGGTACTGACTAAAATTTATCTGGGAGTGTTGAACCTGGGGAGCCTTCATGTGCGCTTTGCTAGGGTGGTGCCACCCTTCGTAATACCACTCGCCGACAAACCAGCAGCCATTTTGGTTCTGGGAGATAATCCGTGGGGCTTATAACCCTCCCGGAAACAAGCACCTTATCTCAGAAGTTCGGAGCAGCGTTGTGGAACCCACGGAGGGAGGATTAGCATTTTCCGCCTCGGATGGGATTACCGATGGACACAAAGGCCACTTTCCGGCGCACGGGAAACGCACGGGGAAACAATGAGGAACAAAATGGCGGCGGGGGAAAGGGAAACAGGCAGTTGGCATCGCTCTATGCGAAGCGCACATGAAGGCACCCTAGTTGAACCGTGTAGGGCAACTCCTAGCAGGGAAATTCGACACAAAAAGAAATTTGTCGTAGTGCGATTAGTGACTGGGACAACTCGTTGCAATACCGGATATGATGTTTGAAGATCTTGTTGCCCGCGTACTATAGCTATGCTAGTGTTGGCTCACTTGTGTTATTCAGCTTTTGTGTAGTGTCCTGTTTACAAAGTTTAGTCTTTTCTTTTAAGTTGATAAACATTTTAGTTCACCTCGGAAGCATAAAATATAATACTTTTAGGAGCGCGACAGAGACACCGCAATTGCGCATGAGTGACACGGACAGAATGTAGCTCGTCCACCCGCGCGACATAGAATGAGCATTCGCGACACAGATGGCATATGCGCGACACAGAAATAACGTAACTTGTCCACTTGCGCGACACAAACAGACTGCGTGTTTGCGACACAGACGGCGCATGCGGTACACACTCACAGACTGCGTATGTGCAACACGGAAATGATGCAGCTGGTCCACGTGCACAATACGGACACCTACTACGCATGTGCGGGCCAAACGTTTCACGTAGTACCCCTCAATTGACTAGCAATTTGTCATCCATTTTTGCCATTTGTGACTGAGAGAGGAGCCAAGATTCTGGTGGACAATACATATTCAGTCTGTGCCTATTAGAAATTAGTGAAAGTTACAATTTCTTGTGTCGACAAGAACTATTAAATCAAGGAAGGGTGTCGCTGGTAATTGAACTCGATTGGAAGAACTATGCTCGATAAACATGAGAAATGGTAAAGAAATAAGACATTGCTATGAATAGTTTGACGAATTGTCATAGTGACGAACTGCCCTATGACGATTTACTCCTATATGACGAATAGCCCTGCTACCACTTAACGTGTGACGAATTGTGATTCGACGGGCGGTACTACAGCCGCATCCACAATTTGCAGGAAGGGGTTCATTTTCAAATGTTGAGATTAACTTACTCGGGCTGCTGTATGAGCGTTATAGTGAGTGTTGCAAAAGCTATTGTGTCAAACTTAAGAAATCTTTTTTATGGAGCGCAAAAAGCCTGAGCCTTGGGTCTGTTTGCCGTATTTTTATGCATTTTAACACAATTTGGAAGCTTTTGCGGGAAGGCACGGCCTGGAAGATGTTTTATATGACTTTAAACTGAGTCCTTTAACCCCCTTTTTCGGGTGGTCAGCGGGGGTGTCAGAAAAAACAGAAAAAACCAGCGATGAATTGTGAAAAAGCAGTGGTCAACAACATCCCTAGGGCGTGTGGATTCACGAACCTCAAACTGGTCCGTGTGTGACTGACCACGTACTGGAACATAAAAGGGCGGTGGCGTTAAAAGCGACAGATTCTGAAATGTTGGAACACTTTGATGAATGAGCCAATTATATTCCCGAGTAAACAAATGTAAAAAATACTTGCAAAAAAAAAAAAAAAAGATCCGGTCAAAATTGTGATAGAGTTAACGACTCGTAAGACAGGCGCCGGAAACTGTATACGTTTTCCCTCAATTCCGTTGGACGCGGAGATGCGGTCTTTTCTTTCTAGTTAGGTTATCAAGGTCAGTAGGGTGCGTCGGGGTAAAGAAAGAGGGTTCTTTTGTAACTGCTTGGGCCTTGTCAACCTGACTGTGCTGTGAGCTCGCGGATGTTGGCGTTAAAACAGAGGGTTCTTTTTTGACCGATTGGACCTTGTCCACCTAACAGTGTGTGGGCTTGACGGTTGTTGGCGTTAGCATTGTTGAAGAGTTGTGGCCTATAGTACAGACCAGTGTCTGCTCTGTTCCATGGGTGCCGCCATGTTTGTTTGTGCAAGACGCCATGAAACAGTAGGGGAGCTGCACTTTTTGTCACGCTCAGTTTTTTTAGAAGCCTTCATACATATCGTAGTGAAAAAACGTCAGATATGCATAGTCACGCAGCTCCAAGACCATCACTGATGCCAAGAGTGCTGTAAAAAGCAAATATTGTTTAATGCGCAGCACCTCTCTTCACAAGACCATGCGTTTGAGATTATTATTTCCCGGTGTTATCGTGGGGGCTAGGATTTCAAAAACTGCTCTTTAAAGGAGACGTGTGAAATTACATTTTACAGCTGAGTTTTGAGAGGGTGTTGTGTTGTGCCGATTGGTGTCCCTAGAGTCCATTTTTTTCACTATGATAAGAAACCAATTCTGCACTTCGTAAGCCGTAGATGACTAGCTTCTTACAGCTTTAAAAAAAAGCAAGATGGAGCAACTCCCGAGCATCTTCTTATCAGTGCACTGCCAAAGAGCTTGTGGAATTAGCCGATAAGAATTCCTAAGAACGCATCATAGTGATCATTGCCTGCGTTTCTTAAAATGTCAGTAACCCTAGGCCAATGCATGAGGTAATGTGTTTAGGCAAATCCAAGGTAGTATAAAGCTATTATGAACCAACTTTGAACACAAAATCTATTTTGCCAACCAATTTTCCTAAAGTTTTGTTACGTTCGGCTGCAACGGCGGGCTGTATAAAGAAACCGACACCGAAAAGCGCTACGCGCGTAGGGGACCGTGTAAAATGACTTCAGGTCCCGGCAGCTTTCAACTCGTCACCTCCAGAATGTGCTCTGCACCAAGTGCTTTGCCGACTGAGCTATCGAGGGCCGGTGGTCGAATCACGCAAAGCGCGAGGGAACGGTGGATCTCTACACACTTCTCTTTTTTCCTTGGAGGGCCTACCACGCATTCTGTCCTTACCAGTCTTTGTCAGCTTAACCAAGCTTGTATAATTGTCTTCTTTCTTGAGAATTATCTCCGCTACTTTCGCCAACATTCATAGAACGCTGTAGCAGTAAATGAATACCGCTGTACTTGAATACTGACATGAGGCATGAGTGTTGACATTAAAGTTTACCTGCAATTTTTTCACATTGTTACGTTTTTTCGAAGTTACCTGAAGCTTGGAGATTGACATAACCATAAATAAACAAACTCGGCTCAATCATTCTGGAAAACATAGATATAAAAAAAGTGCACATGCGCTTGAAGAGTGTTCGTAATGACACCCATAAAATTATCATACGTCGTTATCGACGAATTACAAATACACAGTCGCTATTCTCTTTAACGCGAGACACGTTTTCATTGTCATGATCATCCAAAAGGCTTCCTGTAAGTAATACCTGTCAGGGTCAAACTTCGTGGGATCTGGAAAAAACCTCTCGTCCATGTGGATCACAAATGGTGGAGACATGATGCTTGTCCCGGCCTTGTATTTGATGCCCTGGTACTCGAAGTCTTCCTTTGCCTGCCTCGTGGTAAACCTGTGGATGAGGATGACATTTGCCTATGTTCCAAAGCGTAACGGGCATGCACCTGCGGAAACTCAAGTAGTACAACTCTTTGGGCCAAAATGTGGTCTTTGTCGGCGAATTCTGGCCCAAAGAAAACCCGAAGAAGCGTAGGAAGAAAGAAACTTCACATTTTTTTAGCTAGAATCTGGGTAGCTTGGTCCTAAAGTGCCAAAAGAGTGCCAAAGTTAGACCCTACGGCTGGTTGCTTCGCTGTCATGTCGCATATTTGGCCTCAATCGCCAAACAAGTTCCAGAATCAGGCGCCACTTCTAGCTGTTCGGTTTTCAGTTGGCAACTTTAGAACTAAATTGCTAAACAAATGCCAAATTTAGACTTCACTGCCGGTTCTTCGGGTCATACTTGACATCTGGGGAACAAGTCTGGCACTTCGGCAATTAAATGGCGAGCCACAGAATAGCCATAGAAACGACAACGAAAAAAGACTTTGGTCTTGGAGCAAAACCGTGATAGGTTCAACTTAGGCCTGTTTAAAATTTCAAAATTGCCAAGCTCATGCCGGAACGCAGGAAACGCAGAGGTGCACTGCTTTAATGCCACACGTTAAGGCTGGTTCAAATATTTGCGGGTGCGTACGCTGGAGGAAACTGCATTTACTTGTAAACGCTCATGACGAGCAAACACACTGGTGCACTGGCGCCATCTGTCAAATATCCCTAAAAGTTCCTATAAATAGGAATAAGTTCGTGCAGTATTTGCGAGATAAAATCTACGCACGCTCCATGAAAAATGGTTGCTCATAACATTGCCAGGATTATTTCTATTCCACGGCAGAAATATGGTGCGTGAAATTATAAAATATTTATACCCAAACTATCTGAGAGTTACCTGACAGTTGGCGCCAGTGTACCAGAGTATTTCACTCGCCGTAAGCTGTTACAAGAAAAGTAATGCACTCGAGCATAAGACATAAATTTATGAAGCAAACCGTAAACCCGAGAGCGTAATTGGAAAATGAAGAAACGAAAAAAAAAAATGGAAAGACTCTAAAATAAATCGAGGTCCATATTTATCTTTTCTACCCCGATATCGGAGGTGCTTCTTGGCGTGTTCAGCTTTCCCAAGGTCGTGTATGTTTGGCATGACGCGGAGCCGTGATTTCAGGGTGCACACGAGCACCAATCGGGTGTAAAGAAATTGTATAATTAAGCCAATGAACAGAGGGCATTAAAACTTTCCACAAGGGTGTTTTTAAGTGGTGCATTTATCGTACTCAAGTTTTATGAGAATAGGATATACAAATATTACGCAAAAAACATGTTTTTTACGCATAAGAAAAACAGGAAAACCATTCTGGTTGACGCTGCTACTCAAAAATAACACAACATAAAGCAAAAAAAGAAACGTGAAATGTTTTTTTTTAGATAAATTCTCGAAAGCGGATATAACAGATCCGAGTGTGTAACGCGATCTTCAAATGAAAGCGCCAACCAGAAAGTTTTTTCCCCCCCCGTTTTCCTACTTGCGACACAAAAAGAAGGTTGTGTAGGCTAATTTTTTTTTCTTTAAAACCTTCACTGATAAACTTTGTGTTTGACAAATAAACCACCTGAAGACGCCCTCGCAAAAACGTTTAGTGCACTTCGCTCATTGGTTTATCACACGGATTTTGTTTACGGCCAAGCAGCGTCTCAGAACATCTTAACATGGAGGTCAACCACACCTCCTCAACAACAAGGCCGGATGACTCAAGTTTCTACGTCTCGCAAAGAGGCAAGGGTAGGGAATGAATTGCACACGACGTCACCTTTCGACCGGAACTTAAGTCCTCAAAAATTGAAGACAAGTTTCAGCCGAAAGGTTACGCAATATTTGTGTTTAATCCACGTCCTTCGTTTGCCTCTGACGACGAAACTTTAGTGCTACAGCAAGGAAGTGTTCGGTGAACACATTGGCTTTGTTTGCAGTTTTCTGTAGTTCAACTGGTAATTGTTAGGATGCAGCCGAATTTAGCCAATCTTTACCAGCTCATCAGATCGTAGGAAAGGTTACTTGAATACAGCATGGACGAATACGAAAGTTCAGTTTGATACTTTGTTTATGTTCTTGCTATGTACTGAACCGCTTTCCCACATTGCTAGTCACCACTTCGTTTTGTTTTTATTTGGTTTTGTCTTCTCTTAATTTGAAGTTGAACTTGAAACGCTAAATTACCCCCCCCCCCCCCTTAAAAAACAAACAAAAAAACAAAAATATTACGTTTGAGCACCTCAAATTGCCTTTTGTTTACTTAATGCTTTCTGTAAGTCAATTAGGTTCCAAAAAAAGCTATAATATTTAGAGGTAATTAGTGTTAAAGTGAAAAAAAACAGAGCTGCTAGCAAAACTGATATAGGTTTTTAAACCTAAGAATAGAAATTGCAAAAAAAATATATATATATTTGCTGTTGTAATTTAATTGGGTTTTATATTCAAGTTAACATACAAGACGAAAGCTGCAGATCACTTAATATAAAAGCAAAGAAAAAATTGTGTTATTTGTTTTGCATTATCACTAAAAAAAAACTCTTCTACACTCACGTGAGAGCGGGTGGCCATATTCGCATTGCCTCGTCGATAACCTGCGTGACGTACTTTAGTTTTTTTGTGACTGTCTCGTAGTCCAGCGACCCCTGTAAGTACAAATTACATTAACAGAAACTCCCGTAAGTACCAATCCCATTAACAAAAAAATCACCTTTCAATTTTTGTTGTGATAAAAGGGTACAAACAATATTTACATGCACATTTTTATAACTCAATAACTAACTTAATACAAATTAAATTATGGTGGAATAACATTCTTAACTGGAGCAGTGTACGCCCAAAGCAGGTAGTCCTCGGAAACCAGATTTTGTTTGTCCAAACATAAAGTTGGGTATCCTCAAATTGCGAGAAGTCTAAACTCGTTCTGTTCGTTCTGTTCGGTTCACAAATTATGGTCTTCACTATCCACAACGTGGTTGGCTTCGCAATGATTCCTTTTAAAATTAACTATATAGATCCAGTTCCTCTTACTGATCTGAACACTGATAGAATATACTGTATTACAGATTCAGTTTGAATACAAATTTACTCTAGGTTGATCGTGCTGACGAGAACCTGGGGACACGGAATGTGTAGAGTTACCATACGCATTAAGCGTGCGGTGGCGCTAACCCTCACACATCAGTCCTACCCCCCATCACACACGGACAGCATGACCAACCGACACACATTATGCCTATGATAGATGAGCACATTCCGTGTTCCCCGGTTTGGGTCAGAGTGATCAAAGCTAGTGTAAAATTTTGACTTTAGAAACCAACCGTTAGCCCTCCCCACACCCCTGCTCTGGTTAGCTTAGCCAGTGTAGTACCTGGCTGGGAATCACTTAGTCTCGGGCACAATTCCCATTGGGAGTATTCTTGCATCCGTGTTTCCTAAATGGGCCCCATGGTGCCTATGCGCTATGTAGCTCCTGTTGAACGTGATGGTTGAGCGTTACAATGTTTGCACAGAAAACCACCGTAGAAGCACATTCCGTGTAAAAAAAAACTTACACCCTCGTTGAGCACATTCTTGACTTCCTGCCTAACCTTCTTCTGAACATCCGGGTACTTGCCGAGAGCATACGTAATGAAAGACAGGGCGGTTGCACTTGTCACAAAGCTGTGGGTGACAAAACCACGCATCACTATTAGGCTTAGCATCTCAAAATGTTCTTATATTTGAAGAAAGGTTGTTATGGGCCTTCACACACACTCCAACGAATGGTTATAGACCAACACGAGGCGCGGCTCTGCTTATCAACACGTCCGAAAGACCGCGCATGCGCGGATGCTATGGGGGCAAAAGCGGCCAGGCTCTCCGTGTTTTCGCCATTCCGTTGTGTGGCGTGCGCTTGTTGTTGACGTTGTAGGGACGCTTCTAGCTTTATTTGTGCGCCGTATTTCCTTACAACGTATGACGTATGCTAAGCCCGACTATTTGAGCTCGCTACCCCAGCCTGAACGGCAGTGGTATCGAGACAAACTGTGCGTGGACGGTGTTGTCTTAGACGATCGGTACACCGTAAACATGGCCTGCTGGACTTCCAACGTGAAGTTGCTGCCACCGAAGTCGATGGCTCACGTCGTTTATTTAGTTTTTTCGTCAAGCCAGTTCGCGGCCGATACGGTGCAGGCGTACAAGTCTCTTGAGGCCTACGATTACGTCGAGCCGGTGTCCGCACTGCCGGCGGGATTAGCACACTGTGAGCGTGCGGAAGTGTATTTATTAATTGATTATATACACACAACGTCTTCAAATCAAGTAAATTTATGATAGATTTCTTACCCTCATGACCACAAGGCATGATAAGCGGTAACGCCTTGTCCGTTAGGCAGTCTTGGCGGTAACACTTTACAAGTATAACGGCGTTATCAGTAACGCATTATTTCTTTCAGTAACGTAGTAACCTACTAGTTACTTTTTCGAGGCAGTAAGGGGTAACGTACTTACATTACTATTTCAAGTAACGTAGTTACATTACTGGTTACTACTTCCCAAGTCTTAAAAAAATTACACTTCAATTTTTTCCGTGTTTTTAGGCGCTAAGCCATTTGAATTTCTGAGTTTTCTGCGTATTTCTTTGCGTTTTTTCTGGCGAGTATTTAGGTGGTACCTTAAAAAGAGATAAATAATTATGTTCAGTTTTTGCATGAACATAAAGTTTCTTTATATATGAGCTTATGCATACCTGTACCGTCAAAACAGCAGTAAAACTTTTTAAATCATAATTTAAAAAGTTACGCAGAAGTAACATCTGTTACTTTTTATTGGTAGCGGTAACGCGTTCCTTTTATTTTGAGGTAACGTAGGTCGGTAACACGTTCCTTTTATTTGCAAGTAACGAGTAACGTATTTCGCTACTCTTTTTCGGGAACACCTCCAACACTGCCGTTCTGTCGCCGATCCCCTTCCGCTTGGTAGCACGGGCCAGCCTCCAACGGGGTATCCCGAAACAACTCATTCGCGTTTGAACCCTTTCCGCTTCAAGTCAACCTATTCTTGAAAGGACCGTCCCGTTTGAATTTCTCCCGATTTGACCCATTCCCTAAACGACTTTCGCGTTTGAACACGTCCCGTTTCGACCCATTCCTGAAACGCCCTTCACACTTGAACCCGTCCCGTTTCTTCCCGTTCCTGAAACGGCCTTCTTATCTGAACCCGTACCGAAAACACTCTTTGCGTTTGAATCCGTCCCGTTTCAACGCATTTGTAAGACACTGCACATCTCAACCTTTTAGCGAAAAGTTTCAATCGTTCTAAGACTGGTATGCGCATGTTTTCTTCTTAGGAATGTGTTCTGAATTATTTTTGCATGTCAACTTTCAGACAAGCTTCAATGTAATATGTTCCTACTTCAACCACTTAATACGTTTTTTTTCTTTTCAAGATGGTCTTTAAAACTTTCAAACGCGAAACGGACTATGTACACTGCGCGACACTGGTTGCATTTACATGGATGCGACCGGTAGCGCGTCGAATCGAGATTTGGCTATTGTGATTGGGGTAAAAGAGGAAGAACTAAAGAGACAGAGTGCGTCTTATTGTTCCCTGTTCGATTCGATGCGCTACAATCGCATCCATGTAAACCCTCCTATTGTTACGCCAAACATGACGTTGTCGCTTTTTTGAAATTTTACTACGAATTGTTATAAGTATAGGCACCAGATTTTACCGCTTAGGTTAGTGGCCCAGATGAGCACTTCCGAAGACACTAATAGTTTTGATGGTATACCCTTTTGATTCTATGAGATAAACTGCAAAAAGCGTCGATTACTTGTTCACGCTAGCAGTGTCGTGCTCTGTATAATAAGGGAGTCTTAGGGTAACGTACGCAACTACTTTGGTTAAGCTAAAAGTTAACGTCGCCATAGGTTTTTTTTTATATAGCGGCGCTATTTTTAGACTGCCCAATGCGCTGGGTACATTATTCTAAGACTTCCTAATAGTAAATTAGGTATATTGGAGAGCGATAGATCAGACAGGTTGACAGACGTATGATTGCGACTTTATTTTATTTTTCCAATCTCAAATACTGAAACCTCGCGTGCACAGAAAAATATCATAGACCAGAAAATGCCATCACCTTGTTGAGGAATCGAACAGGAAAATTGTGCCACCAAAAAGGCAACGCTCCAATGAACCTTTTCCGAGAAGCGTTCTGCGCACGCGCGAGCACCCGATGCCAAGCGGCGGAAGTCGGCACGAAAAATCGAGGAAATTCGGAAGGAGGCTCTGGATCAGCGAGTAGAACACGTAATTGCACCATGTATATAATTGTGTTACACAAAAAAATTAAGTGGACGGAAAGAAAAACACGACGTTTGGATGAACGCCACGGATGCCCCTCTTTACAGTCGCGTTGGGCACGCGCCGCAGCTCAGAGAGCGAAAAAACTGGTAGCGTAGTTCACATCATCGATTGGTAACGCAGGTAGGTCACTTCCTCAATTTTAAGTTCGTGCAGCTACCGCCTGGTGCCGTCGGTATGTGGAAAAGGTCCATTCTGATAGTTTGCGGTCCTTGCTGACACATTTATGCCCCCTGGCCCGCACGGCACCACCGTTTGCAAGCCTCTGAAAAGATATTCTTGTCAAGGCCTCATCTCCTTTGATCAGATCAATGAAGCTTTAAATGTTCGGGTGAGCCCTCCCTGACACCGCGGTTATCTTACGGTGCCAAGACTCATTGTGTTTTTTGGTCCGTGGTCCTCGGTTTCCGTAGCCGTTCCACCGATGAATGGAAAATGGCCATTCTTAAGATGCCATCAAAACAGTCAAGCATGAGTGAAGACATCCTACGCCGGTGAAAGCGATAACTGCAATGCTCGTTTGCAGCACTGCAGGCACCCAAACACCAGAAAAGCGTGCATAAAGTGACTGGTGGTGATCAAATCTCCGAGGTTGTTTCGGGAGAGGGCGAAACGACGTCCCCAAGGACGACGGGCACTGGACGCTTGGACCAACCTAAATGATACCGATCAGTGGTTGAAGCGGGAAGGTTGTTTGGGGTGAGGACGAAATGAGAAAATATGAAACGAGAAGGTCGCTTTGAGCCGGGTCGAAACGGGAAGGTACAAACGGGAAGGTTGATATGGGAATGGGTCGAAACGGGAACCACCCCACAACGAGCGCTTGGCCGGTGCTTTGTGTGCGAACACCGTGGTAACAAAATCCGGCTAGTCTCGATCAGACGACCGTCTCTCTTCACATAAGCACTCCTCGGGATGGAGATTGAAATGAAAGCCGGACGTGCCTTCAAGAATTGCCGCACAACGGTCGTTCGCGCGAGGAAACCATTATTTTCGATCCACGGATATTATCCGCCTTTTGTGCCTTTCAGAGTCTGCCGAGAACTTGTGGAAACTCACGCCGCTACTTTTTATGTACTTTGCGGTGAAATTAACGATGACACAGCTTCGCGTCATGCTGAAATGCAATGACGCCCATGCGAAACGTGCGCCCTTCTGCGCACACCACCCCGCTCCGGCGCGATCGCAGCGCCACCGCAGCTCCGTGACGTCAAGCCCGCGTGTCGGTCTATATTATATGATATTTAAAAACAAAAGTCTTCAAAGGGAGTCTGACTTACAACGAGTTTTTGGAAACAATGTGTACAAGGATGTTTTTACTGGAAAAACAAACTGCGTATAGCAGACGGCTCAGTCTCCCCCAAAATGTAATGCTAGCGGTGCGGACAAGAAGAAAAAGCTTGAGAACTCGAAGTTATCGGACTCCATCATGATAGGGAATTCTGGGAAGGCTTTTGCCGAAATTGAGAGACCCTTCAGCCATATAGTTACAGTCAAAAGGTTCATCGGCAGCATATGATTACTCTGGGCTGGTTACGCTACAGTTATCTCAGGATTGCTTGGTCGCCAGATGCAAATGATCGAGATTAGAAAATGAATTTTCGTAATTTTGAGACCTCTTAAAATCGTAAAACTCAGTCAATATCCTAGGTCGCCTATGAGCTTTTCATAATAAGGGCAATTTATTTGTTTAATTTTTGTATATTAGCCAATTTAACCTGCTCACTGGCATACCCACTTTAATATATTGGACTATTCGGAAAACCATTAACTATTGTTAACGCCTTTGCACGGGCCTTATAAGGCATTAAATGGCTAGACGTTTTGATAAATAACGTAACAAACTGAGAGTTTTTGTTCTAACACCCGGGTGAAATTTTTTTAAAGTTTTTCTTCTCTTATTTTAATTGTAATTTAGTTTTATACGTGATTTCTCCCCAAAGTCACACCCTAAAAAACGAAGTTGTATCAAACATGAATATGACACTACATGCTCGAAGATCGGTTTTTGGTATGACACGTACACAAAAAATTGAAAAGTCCAGAGCTGATATCGAATCTTCTTTTCACAGCAAAACATTATATAGATCAAACGCGTTAGCGAAATGAAGAGAACAAGCGAATAAAACTCACCCTCCTAGAAATAGAATATTTGTGTTCATGATAACTTCTTTCGAAGATAATGCCCTGGTCTTGCTGACACCTGCAAGGTTAAATTAAAATGAAGACACTTTTTATTGCCTATCATTTTCAAGCCTGATAACACACTAGTGCCTGAATAAAAAAAAATAACTGGGTCGAAAAGGGCTTGGCAATACAAGTAAACATTATTCGA